ACCTGGGTCAGGCCGGATCACGGCGCGAGCCCATCTGACAGCGCAGGGTCGGTGTCAGTCCAAAAAAATACCGCCGCACAGGCGTGTGGTAGCTTATATGTGTGTATATGTATGAATTGGAACGCACACGAACTTATGAGAAAACCCATTAGTATACATCCGATGCATTTGAATCTAATACGTCGCGCTAGTGGTCTTGACTCTGGAGGTTGCCAGTTGACGGAGTTACTCGGTCCTTCTCACAACTGAGGGTTAGGCTGTAATAATTCCTTTAAAAGGTGGCTTTTATGACACTGTCACGCATGCGAGTCTCTATTTTGGCTTTGTTGGCGATGATCCGATTTGCTTCGCAGATGGCTACGCCGGTCTTCACTTAATTCCCCTTTCCCCTTTTTGTAACCTCTTTCGAGCGTCATCGGCGTTCTTTTAATTAACTAGTTTTTGTATTCTGACCTTGAGCTGGGAATTTGATTTGCTCGAACAGTAACGAAGGAATTCTTTGTCTAGGGTATCCATTGTTGGGGTTTGTACGTTTTTTATTATTACTTTATTCTATCAGTAGTACCGTATATACAACGAAATCTGTTTTGGCTTATACGCGTGACTCAATTTACCAAGAATTGTGCAGTCGGCGTTCAGGAATCGAGACACTTGTGACTTGCGAGACTCTACTTTGGCTGCGCCGATCTTCATTTCTCTTTGTCATGCCAGTCTGTTCCGGGAGAGGCCCTCCCATGTCCCTGGATTGATATGCAATCTCTTGAGACAATTCTTCAGCGTGTCCTAGTATCGTCTTTTTTGTCCTCATTGTCGACGAGTACCCGTGGCGACATAGAGGAGTTTTTCGGCATACGTACGTCTTCCATCCTTACGAGATGGCCGCTCCAACGTAGCTGAAGTTGCCTCAACATGGCGTAAATGCTGAGGATGCTGGTCTCCTTCTAGGACTTCTGTGTCGGGGATCCTGTCTTGCCATCCCAGCTTTAGTGCTCTGCGAAAGCAGCTGAGATGAAAGTAGTTATGCTTCTTGGCATGTTTGGAGTAGACAGCCCTGTTCTATACTCCTCAAAGAGATGTCGTCAGGACGACGGCCTTGCACATCTTCAATTTGGTATTCCGTTGGGGACCGTAACGACTCCACACGGAGTTCTACAGACGGCCGAAGGCTTGGCTGGGTTTGGAGATCCGATGGACAGCACACGCACACACATTAATGCATATTATAGTTCGAGTGTCGATTCTAACGATGTCACAGTGTGCCCCAAAGCAGGGTCTACAATGCTGATAAGCCAAGGGTCGATATACAGCAATCGTTTCTCAGCTGTTTGAGACTGCGGGTCCGATGAAACCGAGATCAGATGAAAGAACAAATATGTAGGGCTATGACTTACTAAAATATATATAGTAGGTATTATTTCTAGGCAAATGATATTCGGGTGCCCTCTCCCGATTGTTACAGCAGGGTGGGCGCAGAGACGGTGACCTGCGCATGAATTTGGTTTTAGTAATGGTAGACTTGCGCAGCATCTACCACGCTTCCTCCTCTCCCACCTGGGCCCGGTGTCATGAGGAATTCAAGAAGATCGGGGACGAGGAGGGCGCAGGTGACTGGTGCGGCATGAACCCATACCTAGGCGTACCATCGCTCCATCCGTTCTGCGCAAAAAAGGAACAGCGCTTCACTCAACAAAAAGGGGACGGGCGCGGCTCAATCTCAGCCGAGAGAGAATGCCGCCGAGGAAGGAGCCATCGCAGTTCTACTCTTGGTTCATCAGTCAGTCACTCAACACATAAACGCGCAACTGCGCTGACCGTGGGTTCCGGGTTGAATCGTGGGTTGGGAACCTTCTAAGTCACGGTAATTAGCTCACCACAATAGTCCCAGGCACGTCAAATTGTCTATAGTGAGGACTAACTGCTGAGACTCAGCCTCTTTCTTACCCTTCCAGCTTACCAGTCGACTACCCAAGCCAGTTAATCAACTGATGCTGAGATTGTGAGAAGTGGCTGACAGAGCTAAGGGCAGCCTGTCTGCGTTTGCCACACACGGAAATTGAATCCCCACACCCACACCAGGAATTCACACAAACGGGGTGGATTGCTCGGATCTCAAATGCAGCAGGGGAGCCACAAGAAGCGTGGGCTGAAGAACACACCACCTGTGTGTGAGAGGTGTCTAGTTCGTGAGTGCGGTGTGTGATTTTGGACTTCGTGTACGCTGCGTGTGTTGATGTGGTCTAGCCTGCTTTGATTTACCGCAGGTTTCCTTGGAAACGCATATGCTGGTGCGATGGATTCGCAAGTGGTCGACGAGGCCGATGCGTGAAGCGACTTTGCGATTGCACTGAGGGCAGGTTGTGGTCGAGTCCACATTACTGATGGTGGGTGGAGACGGTGGTGAGGGTAGTGTTCGACGGGGCGTTAGGAGGCAGGAGGGAGAGAAATGCTAGTCGTCTTGATGGAGGCTGTGTCAGGGATGATGGGAAGCCCGTGACCGAGGCCAGTGATGTGTGATCCTCGGCGGTGAGGAAGGTCGTCGACGTGGACGTTCTGGAGGGGATGACGATGGAGGTGTACGTGAAGGCAGGAGACTGGACTGTTGGGCTGCTGTTACACTAGATCCTAAGATACCCGATGAGGCCGATCCGCGTTCGAAATGTTCGTTGTCAGCGTGGGCAGGTTGGAAGGAGACGGGTATTAGCGTTGTGAATTGGAGGTGCTTGAGACTTGCCAGCTGCTAGTTTGGCTTTGGCAGCAGACATCCGGTTAACTTCATTGGTTGTTGCTCACTGCTCTTCCCCAGGCCAGTCGTTCCAGAGCGAGGTCCTACGGGATAAGCCGCAAGTCGCCCGGTCCTGAGTCAGGTCCTCCCAGGATTCCAAGCTAATTTCAAAGACTTTTTCAACATGTCCTTGTAGCAGCGAATTTGTCCTCCTTATCAGCGGGCACCCGTGGCAACGTCTCCATAGAAGAATCATCACTTGGGTAATTATTTGTCGTACATCGTCACGAGGTGGCCGCTCCATCGCAGTTGCAGTTGCCTCAGCGTGGCGAGGATTCCGGTCCCCACCAAAACTTTCGTGTCAACAATACTGTCCTGTAACACCAACTCAGTCGAAGGTGATTGAGTTTTCTTGCTTGATTGACGTAGACATCTCCTACCTCCGTCCCGTAAAGAATCGTCATCAAGACGACGACTTTGTACATCTTGAGGATGGTGTTGAGATAGAGACGGCAGCGATCCCAAATATGAGTCTTACAAGTGGTCGAAGGCCTGGTTGGGTTTGGAGATCCGGTGGGCCACTTTGTCGTCGGTTTTGATTCAGCGTGAGGACGCGCTGGCCATATAGGCGAGTTTGTTTACGGATTTGATTTGGGTGCCGTCGACAGTGAGAGGGGTGTTGTATTCAGTGTCGTGTGACAACTGGTGAATGACTACCGTTTTTGCCAATAGAAGCGAAGAGACGAGTCCCAGGAAGTAGTCTTGAAGAAGAAGACACGATCGCCGGGACAAGAGCTTTATTAGCCTGACGTTTCGGATTCCTACTCGAATCCATCATCAGAGACAAAAAAGCAGAAACGGGTGGTTGCTGCACAAGGGGCTGCGGTATTTATAGGATGCAGTAGCCATGCTTCCACATACCTATGAACATTCATGGCTCCCCCCTTCATCCGGGATCGTCGCACTTAGTGTGATCACTGCTTGATGGCCGACATTCGAGTCGATATTTGCTGCAATTTCATCACGTGCGTTGGATGTTGGCGTGATGATTGCTCGACCATCTGACGCACCGACCCCGGTGTTGGGAAAAGTGTTCACCTCTGCGCTCCCCGCATGGCTTGTTACTCCGCCTAGGCGAAATTTTAGCATGCAGTATGAAGTGGGAAGATCGTTGCACTTGTTGATGGACTGGGGGCCAGTAAACCATGATTCCAGTAGCTCCCGGCTCACGCGGTTGTCACCTCTTGCGAGAATTTCAGCCTCATCGAATTTGAATGTGTGGCCGGATCTCGTCGAATGAGCCGCAACTTGAGAGCTGGCGTCATTTCTGCGCACCGCTGCCGCGTGTTCGGCCATTCTCGTTCGGAGCTGTCTTCCGGTTTCTCCGACGTTCTTGACGTGTTGATGGTCCGCCCAAAGTTAATCCACCCGGCGACGAGGTTCATGCTGCGTTTCTGACGCGGTGTTGAGCGGGTAGTCATCCGCGAGGAGCAGATCATGGACTGTAGTCGTCGATAGGCGCGCTGCGGCCTGCATGCGTCAGGTATTGAGAAGATGTTTGTCGTTCCGGCAGACGGTGTGGATCCCAGGACACTTGCCACGGTAGGCGTCCATTAGCAAGGCATAAAACATGAGGCTGAAGGAGGTGGTAGGGAGTACGCAGTCCTTCTTCATTCTGCTGGCCACTGTGAATGCCTCAGATATTCGGCCGTTGTCCTAGACACTCGCCATCATCCCGTCGTGAATCCGACGCGCCATGTACGTGAATCATTCAGGACAGCCGGATTTCTGTATGATTCTTCGCAGTCCTTGGCAACTCACCGGGTCCAAGACTTTCGTCAGGTCCACGAATGGAATGTGGGCGTGGGTCAACATCTTCTAGCCCTTATCTTGCGGCTGGCGTTCGACGGTGATCATGTCTGTGGTTCCTTGATGTCACCGGAAGTTACACTGACACTCCAGGAGAAATCCCTGTTCAAGATGTCCGTTGAGGCGAATGCGGGCGAAGATCTGGTAGGGACGGAATATGAGACCCATATTTGGATATTATACATTGTTGTCTACTGAATTCCACAAAGTAGCGTTACTTTACCAGCTACGACTGCCATGCCAACCGTTCAGTCACTGCACCCCCACACGAATATCTTTCGTAAACGGCGAGTTCTAGGGGTGCGAACCTGACCTCAGGAGATTCCTGCTGGGATATCGAGTCCGCATTACGCATTATTTCGCTAAAAGCGGGCGCGGCTCAATCTCAGCCGAAAAAGAATGCTATAGAGGAGCCATCGCAGTACTACTCTTGGTTCATCAGTCGGTCACTCAACACATAAACGTGCAACTGCGCTGACAGTGGGTTCCGGGTTGAATCGTAGATTGGGAACCTTCCAAGTCACGGTAATTAGCTCACCGCAATAGTTCCAAGCACGTCAAATTGTCTATAGTGAGGACTTGTGGCGGTCAAGGATGTGAGATCGACTTAAACCACGCACAATAAGTTCGCTTCGTCTACTGTCAGAAGGCAGGGAGCTGTGAGGACTAGTTTATTCTGTACACAGGGCAGGTTGCCGTAAGTTGGCGGTTTGCTTGCAACAGAGAAAAGCGTCCGTTCGCAGAGGGCGTCAGTCGCGGTGTGTCTTGTTAACGCGAGCGTGTGTGTCTAAGCTAGCAGGAGGGGGTGACTGTCTGCGTGGTGGTCGTGTGATTGGACTAATTAGGGGACGAATGGAGGGCGCATACTCACAAGGCCTCACGGGAATCAAGCCAAAGCGTTCGACGCGCGTTAGGCGATACTAGTTTTTGAGTGCAGCCGGGGTTCACTGCAGCTGGACCGGAGGTGTCCCAGTTCTAGCCGGCGGGGGTGGTCGTGCGTCAGCGGCCTGTCAGCGCTTATCGCGGTCATCGACCGACAAAACGGAGCCGGAGAAAAGGGGGGCTGGAGCGGCTGCTACAACCCCCCCCCCCCAGACACCAAACGAAGTGAAGGCGTCGACATGCTAACCAGCCACAAACCTGTCGGGCCAGTGGACGTGACGGCCAGATCGTGTGCGGCGAACCGGAGGGGGACTGTCGCCAGAAGGTGGAGGCACCACTGTTTGCGGCGGGGCACAGTGTTGGGGTGAGGAAAGGTCACTGTCGTCGATGTAGGCCGGCTTGACGCGATCAATGCTGACTGTGTCGGTCTTGCCGTTGCGGTCGATGACAACGTCTTTGTCAGATCGACGAAGGACTTTATACGGCCCGTCATAGGGTGGTTGGAGTGGTCGTCGGACAGCGTCATGCCGAACCAAGACGAAATCGCACTTATCCAGGTCGGGAGGGATGAAGGAATTGGCCGGTGACGTCCGAGGGGGCGTTGCGCGGAGATTGCGCATGGCACTACGTAGTCGCTCCACATAACTGCAAGGTTCAAAAAACGTTAGCGTGTTTGAAGGAGAAACTAACTCACCGGGCAGTCGTAGGGAGGTTCCGTAGACAAGATCAGCTGCAGTGCAACCGATGTCGGCCTTGAGAGTGGAACGGAGGGACAAGAGCACCAGGGGAAGGTATTCAGACCATCGGGAAGGATCGGGCTGGGCCATAAGGGAAGTCTTAAGCTGTCGATGGGAGCGTTCGACAAGACCATTTGCTTGAGGGTGGTACGCTGTTGTTCGGATACGATTGGTGCCGAGAAGGCATGTGAGTTCGCGAAACAGCGTGGACTCGAATTGGGATCCGCGGTCAGTGGTGACAGTCGCAGGAACTCCAAAATTGGACACCCAATGAGTCAAGACAGCTCTTGCAACGGTTTCGGCACTGATGTCCGGAATGGGCGCAGCGACCGGCCACCGAGTAAAACGATCAATGCATGTCAGCATATAGGTAGAACCGTTAGATGGTGGCAGCGGACCTACCAGGTCAATATGCACATGACTGAAGCGTGCATCAGGGGTGGCGAAAGTTCCTGGCGGAGTAATAGTATGCCGATGCGTTTTGGCTCGTTGACATGGTAGACAGGAGCGGGTCCAACGCCGTACATCCCGGTTGATGTTGGGCCAGACGAATCGGTCAGTGATGAGTTTCACTGTCGCCCGGACTCCAGGGTGGGATAGATTGTGAAGAGCGTTGAACACTCGTCGTCGTAAAGTTGCTGGAACAAAAGGACGTTCGTGTCCGGTAGAAAGGTCACACGTGATGGTGCCTGTGCCAGTGGGAAGGGGGACATCTTGAAGGCGTAAAGAAGAGTTCTCGTGGCGGTATTGGGGAAGTTCGCCATCCGATCGTTGAGCCTCAGCCATGAGCGTGAAGTCTATGGCGTCTGTTGTGATGGAAGCCATCTCGATTCTTGAAAGAGCATCAGCAACCACATTTTCCTTACCGTGGACGTGTTGGATGTCGCAGGAAAACTGTGAGATGAAGTCAAGATGACGGATTTCACGGGGCGAGTATCGATCGGGAGAGGCCCTCAGTGCAAAAACGAGTGGCCTGTGATCTGTGAGAACAACAAATTCACGACCCTCGAGGAAATGGCGGAAGTGCCGGATGGATAGATAGACGGCAAGGAGTTCGCGGCCGAAGACACTGTAGCGGGTCTCTGCTGGGCTGAGCTTCTTCGAAAAGAAGGCCAAAGGTTGTAGAACACCACCAACAGTTTGCTGCAGTGATGCACCAACGGCAGTGCTGGAAGCATCTGTCATGAGAGTTAGTTGGGCATCTGAGCGAGGATGGGCAAGCAATGTTGCGTCCGCAAGTGCGGCCTTGACGTCATTGAAGGACCTGACGGCCTCCTCGGTCATCACTAGTGTCTTCTTGGAGTGGGTCAGCAAGCTGTTGAGAGGCTGCAGTATGGTGGCACCATGGGGAAGAAAACGGTGATAGTAGTTCACCATCCCCAAGAATCGGCGTAGTTGGTTGATGGTTGTCGGGACGGGGAACGTTGATATGGCCGAAACTTTATCAGGGACAGGCTTGATTCCCTCAGAATCTACTACATGACCCAAGAAAGTTAAACTGGGGACTCCGAACTCACATTTGGCGGCATTGATGATAACGCCGTAGGAGTCGAGCCGTTCGAAGAGCTGTCGAAGATGAATCTCGTGTTCAGCAGCGTCAGAACTAGCCACTAGCAAATCATCAATGTAGGCGTAGACGAAGTCGAGACCTCGCAGAACCTGATCAATGAATCGCTGAAAGGTTTGAGTGGCGTTCCTCAGACCAAAGGGCATACGAGTGAACTCGAATAACCCAAAGGGAGTGGTCACTGCAGTTTTCGGAACATCACTGACTTCGATCGGGATTTGATGGTAGGCGCGCACAAGGTCGATCTTAGAGAATATTCGCTTACCATGTAGCGAAAGGGTGAAGTCTTGGATGTGCGGGACGGGATACTGATCGGGGACAGTCACAGAGTTCAACGCCCGATAGTCACCACACGGTCGCCAGTCGCCATTCTTCTTGGGGACAAGGTGGAGGGGTGATGCCCAGCAGCTGTCGGACTGTCGGATGATGCCGAGCTCGAGCATGTGTTCGAACTCTGCCTTGGCAATCTTCAAACGGTCCGGAGCAAGACGACGTGGTCGGCAAGATTTGGGAGGTCCGGTGGTGGAAATATGGTGGATGACTGTGTGCTTGATGTCCACTTCTCGAAATGAGGGGTTGGTCAGGCGGGGAAACTGCCTGAGGAGTGAGTGGAAAGGACAGTCAGAAATGGGCATAACAGTAAGAGGGCTGACGCAGGGGTTCACATCGGGTTGACAACGGGTATGAAGGTTGGTGATGCAGTCGACGAGCCGGCGATTCCTCAAGTCAACTAGTAAATTGAAGTGAGCTAGGAAATCGGCGCCTATGAGGGCGACGGAAACGTCGGCAATAATGAAAACCCATCGGAAAATCCGACGAAGGCCCAAATCGAGTGTGATGGAGCGCTGTCCAAAAGTGGGGATGCTGGAGTTGTTGGCAGCTGTTAGACAAAAAGAGCTGCGGTGTTTGCGTTCGGCCGGAGTTGGTGGAACCACGCTAACCTCGGCACCAGAGTCGACAAGGAATTTGGCGCCAGCGATACGGTCCCAGAGAAACAAACGGCGAGTGTGAACATTGGAAGCGCCCCCGGCAGTATTCGCCGCTACTGCCGGGCGGGATCGTTTCCCGAAGCCTTGAGAGGTGGCTTAAATGAACATGGCGGCAGACATCGTCGTGCTGCTTGTCCAAAATTCTGGTGATACCAGCACATTCCACTTGAAGACTGCTGGCGACGATTACAGGAACGTGAGGAACTCCGTCGACGGTCTCGTGATCGCCTCGGACCTCCTGAGGCAACTGCACTGAGTTGAGTTGTCAGTTTCATGACCAACTGCTCAAGTCGATCAAGGCGCTGATCATATTCATGAGAAATAGGGCTGGCGGTGTGACTTACTGAATGAGTCTCTGCGACTCTCAATGCCATAACCTTGTCGGCAAGCTCTGCCAATTCTTCCATGCTTCCTTGAGAAACAGCCAAAACTGTCTGGACGTCGAGTGGGAGGCGCTGAAGGAAAAGTTGGCGAAGGATGGAGGTGTCGAACTTGCGTTCGCCAACAAGCTGCTGCATTCTTCTCAGTAGTTGAGAAGGTTTTCGGTCCCCGAGCTCTTCGCCAGTGAGAAGTTGTCGTAGTCGACGCTCCTCTGTCATGGCTACGCGCTTTACTAAAGCCTCTTTCAACTTGTCGTAAGGTTGTTCTAAAGGGCGGTGGATGAGGAGGTCGCAGAGTTCCTCCGCATACTCGTCGGGAAGACAACGCTGCAAGTGATTGAACATGGTCTCTTGACGAGTGATGTTGCATGCTTCGAATGCAGCTTCGCAACGTGCTATCCAAAGCTCGACATTTCGTGGCCAAAAGGTTGGAAGTTTAACGGCGACGTGCGATGCAGAGGGAACGGGCACTGACGTCTCGTCGCCGGACATGGTGGAGGAGATGAACGGAGGACTGACAGACGCTCAATAAACTCCTGTGTTCAAAATTCGGGGTCACCAATTTGTGGCGGTCAAGGATGTGAGATCGACTTAAACCACGCACAATAAGTTCGCTTCGTCTACTGTCAGAAGGCAGGGAGCTGTGAGGACTAGTTTATTCTGTACACAGGGCAGGTTGCCGTAAGTTGGCGGTTTGCTTGCAACAGAGAAAAGCGTCCGTTCGCAGAGGGCGTCAGTCGCGGTGTGTCTTGTTAACGCGAGCGTGTGTGTCTAAGCTAGCAGGAGGGGGTGACTGTCTGCGTGGTGGTCGTGTGATTGGACTAATTAGGGGACGAATGGAGGGCGCATACTCACAAGGCCTCACGGGAATCAAGCCAAAGCGTTCGACGCGCGTTAGGCGATACTAGTTTTTGAGTGCAGCCGGGGTTCACTGCAGCTGGACCGGAGGTGTCCCAGTTCTAGCCGGCGGGGGTGGTCGTGCGTCAGCGGCCTGTCAGCGCTTATCGCGGTCATCGACCGACAAAACGGAGCCGGAGAAAAGGGGGGCTGGAGCGGCTGCTACAGACTAACTGCTGAGACTCAGCCTCTTTCTTACCCTTCCAGCTTACCAGTCGACTGCCCAAGCCAGTTAATCAACTAATGCTGAGACTGTGAGAAGTGGCTGGCAGAGCTAAGGGCAGCCTGTCTGCGTTTGCCACTCACGGAAATTGAATCCCCGCACCCACACCAGGATTTCACACAAACGGGGTGGATTGCTCGGATCTTAAATGCAGCAGGGGAGCCACAAGAAGCGTGGGCTGAAGAACACACCACCTGTTGTGAGATATGTCTAGTTCGTGCGTGCAGTATGTGACCGTGGACGTATTCGTATACGCTGCGTGTGTTGATGTGGTTCAGTCTGCTTTGATTTACCACAGGTTTTCTTGGAGACGCATATGCTGGTACGATGGATTCGCAAGTGACCGACGAGGCCGATGCGTGAGGCGACTTTGCGGTTCCAGTGAGGACATGTTGTGATCGAGTCCACATTACTGGTGGTGGGTGGAGACGGTAGTGAGGGTAGTGTTTGACGGGGCGTTAGGGGTGTTCTCATTGGTGGCAGGGATGATGGGGAGGCCGTGATCGAGGTCAGCGGTGTGTGACCCTCAGCGGTGAGAGAGGTTGTCGTCTTGAACGTTCTGGAGGGGATGACGATGGGAGTGTACGTGGAGGCAGGAGCTTGGGCTGTCGGGCGTTAGTTGCACTGGATCCTAAGATACCCGATGAGGCCGATCCGCGCTCGGAATGTCCGTTATCAGCGTGGGCTGACTGGAAGGAGTCGGGTATTGGCGTTGTGAATTGGAGGTGCTTGTGACTTGCAAGCTGCTCTTTTGACTTGGGCAGCAGACATCCGGTGAACTTCATTGGTTGTTGCTCACTGCCCTTCCCCAGGCCAGTCCTTCCAGAGCGGGGTCCTACGGGATAAGTCGCAAGTTCTGTTCTTCTGCAGGCCGCCCGGTCCCGAGTCAGGTCCTCCCTGGTTTCCAAGCTATTTTCAAAGAGTTTTTCAGTATGACCTTGTAGCGGCGAATTTGTCCTCCTTGTCAGCGTGGCGAGGACGCTGAGGATTCCGGTCCCCACCAAAACTTTCCTGTCGGGAATACTGTCCTGTAACACCAACTCAGTCGAAGGTGATTGAGTTTTCTTGCTTGATTGACGTAGACAGTTCCTACCTCCGTCCCGTAAAGCATCGTCATCAAGACGACGGCTTTGTACATCTTGAGGTTGGTGTTGAGATAGAGACGGTAGCGATCCCAAATATGAGATTTACAAGTGGTCGGAGGCCTGGTTGGGTTTGGAGATCCGGTGGGTCACTTTGTCGTCGGTTTTGATTCAGCGTGAGGACGCGCTGGCCATATAGGCGAGTTTGTTTACGGATTTGATTTGGGTGCCGTCGACAGTGAGAGGGGTGTTGTATTCAGTGTCGAGGGACAACTGGTGAATGACTACCATTTTTGTCCGCGTTGATGGTCAGCCCAAAGTTAGTCCAGCCGGCGACGAGGTTCATGCTGCGTTTCTGACGCGTCATCCGCAAAGTGCAGATCACGGACAGTAGTCGTCGATAGACGCGCTGCGGCCTGCATGCGTTAGGTATGGAGAAGATGTTCGTCGTTCCGGCAGACGGTGTGGATTCCAGGACACTTGTCACGGTACGCGTCCATCAGCATAGCATAAAACATGAGGCTGAAGAAGGTGGTAGGGAGGACGCAGTCCTTCTTCATTCTACTGGCTACTGCGAATGCCTCAGAGATTCGGCCGTTACCCGTGACGCTCGCCATCATCCCGTCGTGGAGCCGACGCGCCATGTACGTAAATCGTTCAGGACAGTCGAATTTCTGCATGATTCTTCGCAGTCCTTAGCAATTCACCGGGTCGAAGACTTTCGTCAGGTCCACGAATGGAATGTGGAAGTGGGTCAACATCTTCTAGCCCTTCTCTTGCGGCTGGCGTTCGACGGAGATCATGTCGGTGGTTCCTTGATGTCACCGGAAGTTGCACTGACTCTCCAGGAGAAATCCCTGTTTAAGATGCCCGTTGAGGCGAATGCGGGCGAAGATCTGGTAGGGACGGAATATGAGACCCATATTTGGATATTATACATTGTTGTCTACTGAATTCCACAAAGTAGCGTTACTTTACCAGCTACGACTGCGATGCCAACCGTTCAGTCACTGCACCCCCACACGAATATCTTTCATAAACGGCGAGTTCTAGGGGTTTCCTCCCCCGCCCCGTTGGGTTCGCTTTACCTTTCCATAGGTCCGACAACGCTGCCGGCGAGTTCTAGGGGTTTTCTTCCCCGCCATCCGTTGACTTCGGTTCACTTTTTGATTGGTCGCCATCCAAAGAAGCCTCCGGTCTTACCATCAGCAGGTGTGGACTATCAACGTTCCTTGTGTTTCATCTTCCATTTGTTGCTATAAACCGCTTTTCTTACTATACTCTAGTAGGCAGGTCTGCTGCGGTGTTCGCCGACTTAGACCTGTACTGCATACCCTGAGAGCCGTCCAGGGCGGGCTATTGTAGTACGTATACTTTATTAGCTACTTATTCATCCTGCTTGCGCCAGCCAGCTTCCGTAAGCGGTTACGACCTAGTTGACGATGTCGCACTCAGCGTCCGTTCTTTTTCCTGCCTCTACTATCGCAGCGACGTACCTCGCGCATATGGAAAACTGATATTTATACAATGCAAAAAATATTAACAAGCTCTTGAAGGGTGCTGGGTATCGTACATGCCGACGACCCAGCACGGACTACGCATCCGTCCCACATTATACTTCCTTCAGCAGACCATAGTTTCGTCAACCTCCACTTCAATTTCGGGTCCGCCAAGTTGCCTGGGCAGACGACCCGGCATACGCGATACCAGTTGAGGGCTGTGTTGTGTGCAACTTCTACTTCTTGCTCACACTGCTTCCTCGCACGAACGTCAGCACTATTTTCATAATCTTCGTTATGGTGAGACTACTGCCTTCAGAGACCGACCAAGTTCGAACTGACTTCCGTCGGTGACACCTAGTACACTGAAAACCGGTACGGTTAACGCAGCCTCATTGGTTTGCGGCATGCGCAGGCTTGGAATGTTTGCAGTACCCCTTTTTTCTGACAATAGGATATGACTTTGGGTACTTCAATCGCGCTCTCCTAATGTCGTTCGCTCTGGAGGGTGCATCGGCTTGAGAACGTCTTCTTTTAGCATTCGGAGGCCTCGTCATCGCATTCTACAATATAAAAACATGACTTTCGTAAACTACTATCACACACTGCCATGCCTATTTTAACAACAAATAAGAAGAAACTTATAATTAATTAGCAATTGCCTCCTTGACTTCCATTCAAATACTAACTTTTCTAACGTTAACTGCAAGCTTACGAAGTCACTTGGTTTAATTTTCCTTTGTTGGACACCTCGGCCACCTAAACGTGCTTCGCACTGCATTGCGCGGTGCGGTAGGGTCAACGTTAACGCTTCACTCCTATGGGGTTTTCGGCACCTTACGTCCTTGGATTTTCATCGGCCACTTTGCCGCCTTGATCTCTGACCTTCGCGTCATTATTGTATTTGGTTTACTTTGGTATTATGGTGTTAAATATAATCCCTCCGGTCCGCTTTTAAGGTCACACACAGACCTATTTTAACTTACCGATTTACAAAAATCGTCGCACTAATTGCCTTCTCCTCCTGTCCACCTTCCCATCCATTAGTCCCACCCGTATAGCCCCTACTTCCACCGGACACGAGGATCTATCTTGCGTTATTTGGAATGGGTCTCATATTGCGTCGTTGCCGAAGATCTTCCTAGCGATGTTCAGAAGTGAAATGTCTCCCTGATTCTCACAAAATTGCTGGTTCCCTCCGTGCCTCTGGAGATGGACGACTGTTGCACCCCTGAAATTCTGGGAACTTGTCCTCGGCGCCGCACCTCGTAGTATACTGTTGCATGGTGATCTAACAACCAAAGACCGCCGTTCATGTAGACTTTGGTCAGGATTGGGTCAGATTCCGGTGCTTTCCAGACAGAGTTGTTGCACGGCTTTGATGATTTTTGCGGGGAAAGATGGGAGGTCCAGGTCGTAGTACATTTCCTCTTGGCGGAGCCGGTTTATGGCGGCGTCTGAGATCGCAGATGGGGGTTTTGAACACTTTTGAAGCGTTCGACCCAGACTTTAAGTATCTGCGATTTCTTCGTCAAAAGTGTCGTTCCGTTGTAGCTGAGAAACGGTTCGTTTCCCTCACCTGTGGGGCCTTAGGCCGCCTTGATTGATGCTAATAAGTTTTTTTGTTTCATTGCGGTCCGCTTACTTTCGGATTTTCTTGGAAATGCGAGCCATCCAACAGTCCCGCATCTCCCGCAGTCGTTGTTGCAGCAACATCCGAAGAAGGTCACTTCGCTTGCGTCGGCCCGGCAGTCGGCGTAGGCTCTGTGCAGCCTATTCTCCTCGACGAGC